GCCTGAGGCTGTGACATTGAGGGTTTTGGCAAGGAAAACACTCAAGTGGCGGGGAAGGAAACCCTCGACACTCAGAATCCGCAGAAAACGCTCAAATTGTAGGTANTGTAGGTAGGCTGATACCACACTAAGTAGAGGTAGATGTGTCGGGTACTCGAGGCCGAGCAGGAGAAGACAAAAGTCGGCATTTTTAGAGGTCCAGCACCGTTAGGTAGGCGGGTACCGGTTCAAGTAGCCCAAGTCTGGATCCTGTGCGAACGGTATCGGAACTTGCAACGGTGTCTCCCTCGAAGGCCCCGGTTGCTTGGGTCATCGCGCGGACACGAAGTCGCCACTCGAGAGGCAACTTCCTCTCCTCATATGGGAGGCGGAGGTGGAGTTTCAACCCCACTTGCGGGATACGAGTAAAGACAGAGGTATCGGCTGCCGTTTACCTATTATGGTAGGCAGTATGTTTCTTTTGGCTGCCCCGGTCGCATGGGCGGGGTTGTATTAATTTTTCAGTCGACTTGAGCTTTTACGACGGTGCGACCTGCCGACTTTCCTATACCTGCCGGTCCGACGCCCCGTCATTCATTCTAATTCAATCTTGCCTTACCGCCTGAGCCTTTGACTGATTTAGATCATGGTCGACGCAGCGCACGCGACCTTCTTTTGTTCTATTCCAACCCCTCGGTCCTTTCGGCCGAAGACTTTCAATTTTTACTAACCCTTACCTATTGTCGTATGCATCTTATCACTGAATATGATCGCCTAAAAATCTCGGCCTCAATGGTCGAGAAGTTTGCTTCACATCGCCAAGCCAAAAAAATTCTCACATTTTACCCCAGACTCTCTCCGGCACGACGACAGGCGTTGATACTGTATCATATGCAAAATCATGAGCAAATACCCTTGTAAGGGTGTTTGCTGCGACAACGCTCTGAAGAGCTAGTAGGAGCATAAGCAGTAAAGACAGTCCATTCATGTTGATTCATGCAGATTTTGATCCAAGCCCACCTTCCCCATAAATCGGCGCAAAAATTCACTATCTCCACATCTAAATTCCTATGAAGCAAAATCGCAACTCCACTTTTCGTTCCTTTAGCCGGTGACCATATTTGAGGGTCGTCCCACCATCTACCTAGCTCCATGATCTTTTCTTCGTACAGTTTCGTTTCCTGTAGGCACAAAATATCAACCTTGTGTTCATGAATCCAGCTCTTCAATCGCCCTTTCTTATCCCTCCCATTTGAATCCCCCAACCCACGCACATTCCCCGTCGCGACCCTAAGCCTGCCCATCTAACCCAGTTGTCCCATGCATTTAGATCTGGGAAGAGCTCCCACCTGAATTACCTTCCAAGGGCCAAGGCTTAGTCAATGTCTGCTTCACGAAGTGGGAATCTAACTTCTTTTCCTTTCCTAACTTCGAATTCAACTCATACAAAAATTCTGCCGTCAGAGTCGGAGTAACCCTAATCCGACGGAGATCCGCACGCTTGCCTTCCAAGAACCAGGCAAGGGGAATGAGCCGAAGGCCTTCCTTTTCCAATGTATCCAATTGGTCGGGCAGAAAGCGAGCACCACAGAGAGGAGCAAAAAAATTGGCACGATTGCCCAGGACATCAATAATAAAGCGGGGCATGGAAATATCCTCAATAATACGAAAGCCAATTTTATTCTGGAATAGCGACCGAGCCAGAGTTTCAGCAGCACGAGGCATGGGCGACTCGGGGCAGGACATGCTCAGGAAATTTGGTATGCCATCTGGACCGCTCCACATAATTACCCAAAAGGATTCCCTTGCCGCGGTGCACAGTATCGGAACCAATTTAGTTTCGATGCACTTCTGTCCTTTGGATAAGGAATCCATCCGACCGCGTCCTGTTTTGCGCTTGCCTACTACCCCAGACGGTGTGCGATTGTCGGAAAGGAGGGAACCCTCCGTAGAGCTTCCTGACCCTTCGGCATGGAGACTGTCGACTGGAATATCCACACCACTACCCCCACTAACACGACGCTGTTTGCTAGGGGACTCCCCTCTTACCCGATTCTGGGGTTGCTCAGGGCCCCCTTGTGCGGGTATCAAGGCCCCCCCGCCTAGTACCTGGGGAAAACCAGTTTGACCATATCCCCACGGGATAAATGCGTGCAAGTTGGTTAGTGATGGACTTACCCCCAAGGACGACCCCGGCGGAGGCAGACCTTGTGGCTGCTGCAGAAAAGGGTGTGGTGGCATATTTTGGAAATACGAAGCCCAAACCAAGTTTACCGCCGGGTTAGGGTTACTTGGATTTGGGAAGACATTCCCTCCCACTCCTTGTGAGTGACCCGGGGAAAACACCGGATTCGCCCTCACTGAGGAACCTTCTGGCACACTTGACGCTGCAGCTTCATTGGCTCCCGGGACTCCAGCTTGCTGAGCAGATGCACTTGGAGGTCTAAGCACCCCTTGGTACCCCTGACAGGAAGCTCCCGCCCCTGAGACTGCCGAAGCTTGTGGCCAAGTCGACGCTCCTCGCCCTTGATTCCTTCGCTGTGGTCTTCGACAGGTAGCCTCCGTGTAGAAGAAGGTTCGGCACCTTCGGCACCAATCAGTTTCAGCGTTCGCCAACCTCACCTCCAACTCGTCACCCTGATGGGTTTCGACCCAAATCCTGTCTTTCATATTATCCTTGCAACTTGCATCGATGTCGAACCGGATGCTAACGAGCTTGGGATCCTCTGCGTCTTCCTCCGGTTGGTGTCTCGTCACGATTTTACCGATCGCACGTTCCACATGTGTGTGTAAGAATACCATCTCCCCCAGAGGAACTCCCACCGCAACAACCCAAAAAAAATTGTCGTCAATTGTCCTCCGCCAGTCTCTCACCTCCGCTCTTGTCATCCATGGTTTAAACTCCGTTCGATACGTAGTATTCGCAAGGTCAATGAAGTCGGATTTCTTGGACAACATCCAATCTGTAATTTCCTGAGTCCTCGGGACATAGGAAACTACATTTGGACTCTCCACCTTTATTCTGCCTCTCTTGAAGTCCGCCCCGAAGACGTCATCTCTCCAGCCGTCTTCATACGCCCGGATGATATCCTCCTTGATTCTCTTCGGCAGAAACCGAGCACCGTCCCTGAAGATAACCGTCACTGTTCTTCGTTTCAGCCATTTTACCTTCATTTCATCCACCGTGTTGTTTAGGACGAATTTGACTTCCCTTCCTGTCACCTCCATCGTGCCTCCATCGATCTCCGCTGAAATAATTCCTTCCTCATAACACGCTCTCACCATCTCTGTAATTCTCTCTTCCCCCAGTCTGTAGTCCGTAGGAACTTCAGCTCTAGCATCGCCTATCCCCTGTGGGGGGGGGGGAGTGGTTTCGCTTCCATCCTCACACTATGTTACTAACACTCTTCCTTCGCTTCTTCGGGCTAATTCCGCCCACCTTCACTGACTACTCCTGATCAACAGCTAGACTTCAAGCACCAGACAGGAGGAGGCAACGGCAAGATCTGATTACTGACACCATCAGCTATGGCGAGCCATAGGACTTCGTGAAGACGAACGACAGTGAGGTGTCACCTACAACACGAGTTCCTCAGCGGAACCGGTATCGCTAGCCAGGCCTGCCGAACCGGCAAGCAGCGTTAGGACCGAGTGCTAACGTACCAGCGCTAACGCTGAAGCGCCGTCGCCCAAGACTCGGTCCGCAGCTGTCGCGCTTTTGTTCCCCTCTGTCTCTGCTGCCTGGTATCATCAGTGAACTGACCGGCCCCAGGTAATTCAGGATTATATTTTATTTTGTTCAAGTTCGTCTGATTTCAGCTGGATTCGAACTTGGGACTGTATTGCAACAGTTCACGGGGGCTGGGTCCCACTTGCACGAATGAAGAGATACTGACGGTAGATAGCAAAGATCAACGGCCCAAATCTCCTAATCCGTGCAAGTGGGACCTTGCCCCGGGTCGGGCTTCAACCAGGGTAGTGCCTGCAACGGCTGTCTGGTCAGGTCCTGCGAAGATGGTAGAAAGGTGATGGTCCTGAATGGTAGACAATGGGGTAGGACTGGGAAAGTGGGGTTGCTTCGGGGAAAAATTGACGAGGTGGGGTCGGGTGGGTCTCATAAAGGCTGCGACCCAAAACAAACGAAAAAGAAACGAGGGCGGGCGGATGTCGGGGCCGTGATTTGCCTGGGCCGCTCTCCGGCACGGCATCAATCACGCGGAGACCGGCGCGTTAGAGCAGAATAGATAGATATATATACATATACCTATATATATTTGTATAGATTACCGAGGCTGGGTTTGGGGAATAGATCGAGGCAGGACGAGTGGGACAGGAAAGGGGTGTAGCACGGACGAGGCGGGGGTTTGCCGACGCGAGGGAGCGCAGCGAAGGGCGGGAGGCAGGATGAAAACGGCGGCTGCGCGAGAAAGAGCCGACGTGCGGGGAAGGGACGGACGCATGAGATTCAGAGCGAGGTAGCTGGGAGGCGAGAGCTTGTGAAGGCTTGACGATTAATCATCGGTCGGGTTGTGAACCAGCAAAGTCGATTGACATTGCGGATGCTGTGAAGAAGGCGGGGGGCATCAGCCAACAAAAAGCCATGCAATCTTACCGCGACTGCGCAACCTGAAGGTATTTGGGTGTCTGCCGGTGCATGTGTGTGTGTGTGTGTGTGTGTGTGTGAGAGAGAGAGAGAGAGAGAGAGAGGGGGGGGGG